AAAAATCCTTCAAGAAATTTTAACTAATATTTAAAATCAAAAGTGATACAGTAATAATGATATATATTTCAGCGAAATCTATATAGAAACATAAATTTTACAATTTTAAGACTATTATCAATAGTGAGTGATCTATGTAATTGAATCTCTTTCATAGTTCTTTCTTTATTAAATCATTATTCTCAATATTCTAATTGAAGATAATTAGTAAAAATTAAAAATATCATTTTATGATTTTAATTGCCACTAGTTACCTATCTTAAAAAATTATTAACACATATAAACAGTACTAAAATTATCAAACTTGTATTCTTATTTAAAAAGTATTCTTTTATATATGATAATTTTAATCATCCAAAATGGTTTCAAGATTAATTAATTTTTGATAAGATCATTTATATAGATCAAATTTATTTTCCCTTAGTGAATTTATTTATTTTCATTAATCTTAAAAAAAAAGGCAAACCACAAAATATTTCAGCTGTTGAATTTCTAACATTTAAAATAGTGTTTTAATAAATGTTAGTTAATGAAAAAGATAATCCTGCTTAAGTTAATTACTTTAAAGATTCAGCTAATAAATCTTTGTTTGATTTGTATACCTCTTATGAATAATGAATAGAAATGTTTTGAATCAATAGACAAAGCTTTATCTGCCCATATAATTGCCTCTTTGTAATTCCCAAGTATTTTAAAGATTCAGCTAATAAATTTTTGTTTGATTTATATACCTTTTGTATTTAAGGAATAGATATGCTTTGAATCTATAGACAAAGCTTTATCTGCCCATATAATTGCATCTTTGTAATTCCCAAGCATTTTTAAAGAATCAGCTAATATAGTTGTGTATGATTTGTATACCTTTTATATATAATGAACTGAAATGTTTAGGATTAATCAATAAAGCTGCATCTAATAGTTTAATTGCTTCTTCATATTTATCATCATCATATAATTTGCATCCTAAAATAATCATATGATTACCCTTTTAATATAATTCTTCTACATTTCCTTATTCTTATTGTTTTGATGAAAAATAATTTACTTCTCCTAATTTCAATTCTTTAATATATTTTTTTAATGATATGATCATATTGTCTCAAAATTTCTTTATTTCTTCAAATAAGCCTTTTTTAATTTCATCATATTTGACCACTTAATCTAAAGCTTAATTCAATTGCTTTGCATTCAACCTTAACAACTTATCCTTAGAGAATTGAAATTTTTATTCTAATCCTTAATTTAATTAAGTAAATAGTTTGATTATTTCTCCAAACATCAAACTTAATTTTGATATTAAACTTCCATTTTCTTATTCAACTTCATAAAAAAACTCAATTAATTCCTTTAAATCCTTTTAATCCTTCATATGAGCAACATGATCTCCATTCTTAAGACATTAATGACAATAAACTCTATTAGCTTTACATTTTTCATTCAAACAAGCTAATTCAACAAAATCATGTCCTTCAATAACGCATTTTATCTAAAGTTCTTTTATCATATATTTTATTTTTACTTGTATTTCTATTAAATGCTTAAATACTATTTTTATATATTTTCATTCTTTTTGATAGAATTAAAAAAATTTAATAAATGGAAGTTTTAATTATAATTACTTTAATATTCAATTAGATAAGTTTATGTTTGTTTTCTATTTATACTTCAAGAGAGATAAAATACCTTATATTAGGAGCCTCATTAAATTCAGGTATTAAGTTTTATATTGTTAATTATAATAAAATCATTTCCTAATTTTTGTAAATAAAGGAATTGAAGAAATAATCATGTAATTATACAATTTTTTCAACTCTAATAAATAATTTTAATTAAAGTTATAACATATATGGAAACTAATTATAAGTATCTACAAACTCTGAATACTAAATAAATAATTGCAATTAAATTGATTACTTAAAATTAATATATTTCTAAAGTAATTAATTCATTGTAATTAATCTATTGATCTATATTAATGATGTAAAATTGATAAAACTTTATATGAAGCAATAAAAACAAAATTATATGACATATATATCAAATAGATTAATGAAAATAGCTTATATTCAGAAATTGACTTTGCAAAAAATTTTTAAAATATTTGTTTATAATTTAGATCAAGAGGTCTTTAAGAATTGAAAATAATTATTAAATTTTGACAATGTAAGTTGCCAAAATAGACTATTAACGAAAATTTTAATGATAATAAATATAGAAGTGAAAAAATGTTGTTCATGAGGATTAATTTTGTGATTTAAAATCAAACTATTACTTAAAGCTAATATTCTATTAAAGTAGTTTATATTTAGTTGTTTTATTTGAATATTTTGGATTACTTTTAAATTTTCCTGAGTAATTTAAATCCTAACTCTTTCAAATCAGCTCTAATAATTATGAATCAACAATCCTCTAAGATTTAATAATATATAGAGACAAAGAAATAAATTTTCCCTAGTTATTTTTTTAAGAAAATTCTTATAAGATCAGAAAACTTTAGGAGATTTATGAAAAGTGAAAACACTTAGAGTATTTAGAAAGAGAGAATTCTTAAATAAATTATAAATTTAACTTTGATTTTATACAAGCAGATTTGCTTAATTAAT